TTGATATTGAGATGTAATAGATTCACTTCCTCAACTTTGATGTTAGACGCATTACAATGGTTGTCGGTGAAGCAAAGACTTGTATATTTGACTATGGTGTTCATTTTTAAAGTAGTTAGCGGTTTGTTGCCTCGATATTTGTGTGATCGAATTGAAAGAGGAAGTGACTTTCATAGATATAATACTAGAAACGCGGTTGAAATAAGAACACCACATTTCTTGACTTGTGCTTCACAAAATTCATTATATTATAAAGGAATAAATGTTTTCAATTCGATGCCTAGTCATATCAAACGTTTAGCAACACTTACAGAATTTAAAAGACACTGCATTTCACACGTTAAAACTGTCTTTTGAACAGTTATCCAGTGATTTTTTTATGAATTGACAAATTATGTATCTTGACGAAGTTATCTCTAACGAATTATTTTATATGGATAGCTGTCGTAACGACTTTTTAATAATTATTGTAGCACTGCAAAAACTATTTCTGTGCACCACGAGGGTGATGATGGATTTTTAATATTTGATTTAATAGTAGATTAATTAAAAAAAAAGTAGTCTACAAAGGTTTGAGCCTCGCGCGCGTATTACGGATCAGTGTTGGAAAAGCTCGCGATATTTCACGAAGTTCACCAAGGGAAAAGTTCGCGAGTCATAGTGAGTTTTCGCGAACTTTTCCATCACTGTTACGGATATAGAGGTTGACTGAATTTAACATTTGATGAAAAAAAAATGCAATTTTGAAGCTTATTTGATAGATACCTTGAGTTAGTAGTATGTTTTCTGGCAAATGTTAGGGATTCGTGAGCATTCCTGACATTGCTGAAAATTATGATAGCATCAGATTGTGGGGTTGCTAGTGTATGAGGATGCTTTGTTGATTGTTCATTAACTCTTGATTGCTTGTAATACTTATGAATATTTTAGGTGGACAAAAAGGCGAACTAAGAGGTGGACGCCTGAGCTTTTCCACATTTATATCGCTGTGAAGCAACTGTAAACTCTAGAGGGAACTTATATCTGTAACTGAAACCAGTTCGATTTTGTTTGCCAACCTGGTTAAAATGTCATATTCAATTATCTTAAAGATAAATCGTCCAGCTCAAACCTTTGTAGGGGTCATCATCATCATCATCATCATCATCATCATCATCATCATCATCATCATCATCATCATCATCATCATTTATGGCCTTCTACAAGTCTAAATCATGGTCTACAGAACCCTCATAAAACCAAAATGGTTACTTGGGATATCAGCTAGGAAGCAGTGACATCAAAGATGAATACTAAGATGAAACTGTCGGAAGAAAAACTTTCTATTTTAGTGTCTTCTTTCACGGTCCCTTTCATCGAATGAGAACCCCCCGTATTCAAGGTAATTTTTTGGTTTTGCTGCCCCCTCGGAAGAGATGAAATTTTGCGCTCATTTTTATCAAAACAATCACACCAAAATCAGAGGTGCCCCATTTTTTAATTACTCGATTAACAACTAATCGATTATTTTTTGTTCGCTGTGCTGCCATTTTTCCACGAATGAGAGTGCAGCACATGTTTGAAACGATCGGTGATGATCCTGTGGAGATGTTAATGCTTATATCGGCATGATCTAACCGATTATAAATAGTTTACTTTTCGGTTCGTTAATCGATTAAACGATTATTCGAATGAAAATCGGACATCACTAGATGAATGTGAAACGTCATTTCAAATATAAGGCCGTTCATAAATAATGATACAATTTGAAAGGGACCGGGCTAATCACAAATTACGTCTCCATGGTAACTGAAATAAACACGAGTGTTCACCGGTTGGTGACATTTCTACATTTTGGTGTGGAACTCATATTCACAGACACACAGACCTTGCAAAAGCTTCTCTAAAATGGACCCTACACGATTTCTATGATTGTCAATACATTCTATATTGAGGTCAATACATTGATATTGATAATATTGCTATAATCGCATCATCAATATTATTGTGGAGTTCGCTTAACGATGCCCCGTGTGCCTCCCAGGTTAGTCTGAAAACGTAAGCATTCATCAATGTGCGATCAAACGACAGGGGTACATATCTCACTTGCTATAAAAAAAATGTTTTTCGGAATTATGAAATCATTAGATGTTATAATTCTTAGTTATTACTTGTAAGTAACAAGAAGAGGTCGTGAAGTATGAGTTTGACACATAAAACCTTTCAATATTGCTTTCAGTGCATCATAATCAGCAATTTTACGATTCGTGAGCGCTCACTCTGAGTGAACGATCACGAATCATATGATCGCTTATTGTGACGCTCTGAAATCGAAAATGACAGGTTTTATGAGTCAAACACACACTTTACACCCTCTTTTTGTGACTTACAAGTACAACATATCATTATATCATCTAAGGATTTAATAATTCCGAAAAATATGTTTTATATCAAGTGAGTGGAAGCAACCCTGTCTGTAAACGTTCTGACGGCAATCGAATGTGCAGGAAGGCAGCATCAACACCTGCGTAGGATATCGCACCCATTCACAACACACATTGGCCGGGACCAACGGCTTTACTTCCCTTCCGAAGGAAGACGTGACCAGAGATTTTTATGCCTCAGAAAAATCCCACCGACCTCGACTGGGATTGAACCCAGACCCATTGGGATGAGAAAGTAGTCACGCTTACCACACCACCGGCGCCGGCTATGATTTAAAAATACTTTTCCTGAAAGAGTTTCAAAAGCTTGGACTTAAAAAGTTATCAAAACATGAAGACTTATGAATATCTGTAGATTGAGGCAACCCTACGTAGATAGTTAAAGGATGGTGGAAGGTGTTGGCATTTGTTTAAAGATCCTACAATTGAAAAAAAAACCGTTCCATCGGCTGTCTACATAGTATGCGGACAACCCCACTCTGCTAATACAGGATTTCAAATTTCTTAATTATTTCTTTTTAATCTATTAATGGAGGAACTGACCCCTCAGATATTCTTATAGACACTTATGGATGGACCATATATCATAAGCTAGATCTTTAAGAAGGCTCTGATAATGACAATGCAAGCTGAATTTCCAGATACAAGTTTGTAGTTGCAGAACGTATATGAAAAACCTACTTAACAGCATGTATGCCTACCATATTTATGCCTAATGGGGTACAATCGATTCAGATGATGTTCAGTGTATAGTATGGAGTAGGACCGGTATCGTGACCGTTCTGTTATCTATTTTGTTGAGTTTTAACACCTGCAGCTTGCAATTGACAGGATGGGATTATGAATAACATAGGGACATATGGTGCGACCGTTTCATTTGTATGATTAACATTATATAAACCATATGACATATTAAATATTATTGTAATCATATTCATATAGCTCGTGGTTATTGGTACGGTATGTCCGCGCATCTTCCCACCCCTGTGGACCCAAGAATTGCTTCGTAGTTTAAATATTTTGAATTAAACTCGAATCATTTCTCAGAATTATCTTTGCGGCGCAGAAAATGCAGTTTGTCTGGCCATTTTGATGTTTGATATGCTGCAAACATCAATATTGACAATCTAAGTTATCTAAGTTAATCATTTTCCATGATGCTTCTCGTACTGGCTTCGTTTGTAGATAAGATTAGATTTGAAAAATATTGCAAATTTGTTGCTTCAGCGAAAAGATGCAAAATCAAAAGTTCTGAAAGGGTCTAGAATATATCATTTACGATAAATCAATGCAGAAAAAGTAAACTTAAAACAAAGTTTTAGAGATTATGTTATCATAAAACTTGATATAAAACATGAACCATTTGAGATAGAAAATTTGATTTTTCAGTAAATTTTTCTTCATATAAACAGTTCTAGAACCTTGTCATACATTCTGACGGTCTATTACAAATTCCTTTCGGTACTCCTAGATGAATGAGGAAGGAAAAACAGAAGAAGATGTTGTTATAAACACTCATGATACAGTAGAACAGTTGATCAGTGGGGTGATCGTATTGATTTTCATCGATCCTCATCCCTTATTTTCTTAAACTTTCCAGATAATTGCGAAGCTAAGGACGTGATCAGATAACCAGGATCGCTATTATAAAATTTTTAAAGTCAATAATTGTGTGTTACTAAAATCGGATTTATACTACAATACACTTCACTTCACAGTAGATAAAAATAGATAAACTAAATTCAAAGAGAGCATGTAGCACATGTAGCATAATATTCCACTACATTTTCCCATACATATAAGCTTATTAAAGTTCGTATCGCATGCAATGTAAATACGTCAATGATCCATTTTCACGCAACCACCCACTTACAAGGGCTGTAGTAGCTTCAAATAGCACTCGGATGGGACAACGAGTATCCCTCTCATCCTGTGCATCATCTGCAATGTCCACAGAGCTGCATCAAACGAGATTGCGCTTGTGCCTATTTTCGCATATGGTCAAGGACATCAACGAGTGTTCCGTTTTCCCGGCAGAAGATTCAACCTTCAAAACTGTTCCCAGCCAAGAGAAAGTAAGCAACTGAAATAGGTCAACCCCTTCAAACGACAACTGACAGAGGAAATTGGCTTGATTTGCAATCACTTTCAACAAAATGCCATGCACATAGCCAGAAAGCGCAAAATAAAGTTCCAAACACTAGTCCCTGCTGGGAGACCGATTTGATTAAGATTGACATTTTCTGTAACCCCCTCAGCGACGTGTTGCGTAGCTGGTTCCAGGAACATACAGCTCCCACAATCTCGATAACTCCTCTGGATTTTCCAATGGCGCCCTTGTTATTTTTAGCTACCATTCAAATTGGAAGCTCGTGATTATGCACCTTAGAAATTGTTTATCGTTTTTCGCTCTTGTTTGATATAGTTAAATTATTAAACCAGAACGTCTCAACAATTCAAACTCTCGATTCAAAATGCGTCAATTTGGTAATGTGACACCGCTTGAAAGCTTTTCCAGTTAAAAATAAAAAGCCTCTGCAATATACTTAAAACATACAAAATACAAAGAACACTTACATTTCTTTTCTCCGCAGCATTCAGATTTTTGTGGAAACTGGATATCCGAAGGAAATGTGAACCGTCGATAAAAATCACTTTTAATTACAATCGACAGGTGGTTTACGGATACCGCGTGCAGTACACACCAGCTCCTAGATAGTACCCACTAGTTGAATAGCCAACGAGCCATGGCAGAGGGTGTAAGACAAACAACTTTAATCTGCTGCAGAAGACGACCGACGGCGGGCGTCGCGTGGGAATATTCTCCCACCCGGGGATGCACGTTTGTACGTTCACAGCCTCAGCACATCACCACTGCTACTGCCACTGATGATGGCCATTATGATGGGATGAACGTTTCGAGGCTTCAAATAGGCGTTAGGCGGAATCTGCCTTCGCTAGCTCGTGGTAAATTTTTTTTCCGGTTTCCTGTGGATTTTTTGCGATGGGTTTATTTTTCACTAATGTATTTTTCATTCACTTCGATTGTATCCTTCCTCGACAGTAGAACCTTTCACCGTTTCACTACCTTTCAACAACACTATTTATAGATACACACACACTTTCCTCCTACTGCCTAGGTGAAATCCTGTGTGTTTTTGTCAGTGATGAAAAGAAGGAAAAAGTGATACAGCTTCACCGCCCTATTCCAGGTACCGAAAAGGAAAAAGGCTGGGGAAGGCAGTTGTAGCACATCACCAAAAAAAATTAAGATTTCCAACCAGTATATCCACGACCACGGTTTTCCGGACAGATGTTGCGTGTCGAGCGCGTCAAGGGTAGTCTTCGACTGAATCGGAAAATTTTCACTTTCCCTCGTTGTCCTGTTCGGACGAAATTTCCACCGCTTTTTCAGGTGCGAGCCCGGGAGAAGTCGCACGATGGGTGGCAGGGAAACAGCAAGAGAAAGAGAACCCAAATTTGATTCGAGAATCGGAGAGGCTTCGTTCACTTTGACCGCCATGAGAGTAGTTGTCCACGGTAACCCTGAGCCAAGCGGACCTTGATGGCGAAACCGAGAAAATCATAGCATAGATCAGTATTTTGAGTGCCGGCTGATCCTTCGCAATGCGAATTCGATTGACTCTGGCGTACGCCAAACAGCAGATGATTTTCGGTATCTGTTGATTTTCGCATACGCACTATAAGTCCATTTGTTTAATGCTGCGGTGTACTGGTTAATGGCATATGATTGTTATTGAGTACACAGCGGAGATAATTGGCTAAAGTGTCAATAAACTGATTTTCGACTAGAGGTTGCTACCGATAACGTTGGTAGATCACCTTATCGTGGTACGTTACGGGATGTAAGTTGTATCACCGTTTTCTAGTAATGACTACTTCAAACTAGGGGAACAGGATTTTTCAGTAATCAAAGAAACACATCTTAGTCCTTGTTACTTGTTATGCCTTGGTAATAGTTAGTGATAAGTCCTCGGATAGCCTGGACCGAGGATGATCTTGCAATAAGTTAGTCTTCATATATGTGATTTTTAATCTTCTATTTATTTTTTCTTCAGTTTGAAGTGGTGGAGATTAGGGTTCTGATGCATGTTCAACATCAGTGTCATTTCTTGATTCTGTCACTAAGGATTCCGATTCCGACTGAACGAAAAAGCGCACCATTGGAGGGTGCTCTAATTCTTCGAAGGGTATACATTACGGGACCTTTCAATCAGAATCGGTTCCCTGCGATGAAAGCAAGAATGACAACTGTATCAATACCGTATACTTTATCATTTATCAATAGTGATGGACTAACACGACATGGACTAAGCTATGGGAGGATATGGGATATACTACAATAGAAAAAAATGCTGGTCACACTGGTTTTATGTCCCGAGTAGCGGAAAAAAATAAAGGTTACTACATTCCAGTTAAGGATCTTTTTAACACAGATTTTCACATGGATTTTGACACTGTTCGGGATTGTCATGAGGAGAGGATCGCCATAAATACTCATACTGAGTATAGACAATATACAAACATTGAGGATACATTACAGGTTTATATCGACATTGCTATCAACTCGGAAAAAGAATTCAGAAATGAATTGTTTGATGAAATTTTTTGAAGGTCCCCAAAGTTTTTCGATCGTTTCTGTAGCTCCCAGAACTTTCACGTCGTTATCAGTTTCCTGAACACCAATTAAGGTACATTTACTCATTCGGATCTCGTCTTCAAAGCTCTCTGAATCTATCTGAAGCCTTCTGAAGTTCCCAAATCCCTCTCATAAGCTCTCACTTAATATCTTCGAAGTTGTTTGAACCAATCCATTCCATGTATCCATTCGCTCCCTGATCATCGCAGAGTTTCTTTAATAAGTTTAGAGATCTTCATATATGTTAAGGGAGCTCCAGGTAAAGTTGAAAACTATAACCTGAATTTCAAGAATAAGTGGACTTCGTAAATACTTCGTAATTTGTAGAAGCACACGACATCAATGTAGTTTAGAAAATCAAATAAAGACTCAGGGAATATCCCAATAATATTTGAGTTAATTTTAGAGGAGTTCAGTGAACTTCAGAGACGTCTGGCATATTTTAAAGAAATTTCCAGAATTATAAAAAAAATTGAGATAATTTCAGAGATGTTTAGGAGCTCTCAGAGAATCTTGGGGCTAGGTAAGTTCAAATTAACCATAGCTGAGATGAAGGATCTTCAAAGAAGTTTTGAGAACTTTAAATAACTTTAGAACATCTTGATAATGCATTGAATACCATTACTAAGAGCAACGAGAATTACCGATTATGTAAGGAACTTCCATTCTTAAGAGATGTCCCGATGACTCGAACAAAATTCAAGAAACCTCAAAAATACATTGAAATCATAAAAGAAGTTCAGGAAACCTCATGTAAATTTTGGGAATCGCATGGAATGCTAGGAAAGACTATCTATCTTATATCAGAAAAATCTGGGTAAGTTGAAGATAGGCTCAGATGTTCACTATACATCCAACTCATGTTTTCCATTCTAATTCCAATTCCAAACTTCTCGTTGAAATTTCTTAATTTCAAAGTTTACCTTAACCTGTGAGGATTCGGTGCGGATTTTTTTGTTATTGCAAAAAATCCTGGAATTAGCCTACCCAGCACACTGGTTTGGTGAGGGGAATCGAGAAGGAAAACCAATTTAGAGTATTTCGAAAATTTCAGAATATATATTTTATAAATTAAATGAAAAGCTTTATGACGGGACTTTAACTGTTCAAATGTTACACATAAACATTTGAATTAACGTTGAACACTAAAATAATCTTTATTTAGGAAAATATGTTCAATACAGTACAATTGAGAAACGTCAAAATATTTTAACTGACGAAAAAGTGTTTATTTACCAAATTCAAGGGCAAGTTCAGAATTAGCTAACACACTCACATATACTACCTGATTTTGAGATAATCTCTTCAAAATTGATATTATACATTGAATACATATCAGGCGAGCAGGAAACGTGAATTTCTTGATGTTAATTTTTTGATTATGGAGGAACCACTGTGCGCTAGTTTAAGTTTATCGTCATTGAATGTGAATGTCCTGTAATTATGACGAAATTACAAATAATATGATGATAAGACAATCCACTATGCAACTCCCTCCCCATCGCTCTAAATATTCAAAATTTCTGATTCAAACAAATACATGCATTTCATTAACTTTCGTACAGACATTTTACCATACTATCTGGCATCCCTGCTCTCAACTGATGCCGGCAGCAGTTGGCAACTGAGTGGTGCGGAGTCGATCACATTTAATTTTCAAGTTATTTTGCTTGAAAAATATTGATTTTCTTCCCTTTTTCTACATCCTTTGAACATAGCTCAGAAATCGGAACTTTTTTCCAGAGCAAAAATGAGAACTCGTTTGTGACTTTTTCATTATTTGATTACAATATCTTGAATGAGGCAATATTTTGTAAAGTTAATATAAGTTTTGAAATGGTTATCAAGTAAAAAAAACTGATCAATATCATGTCAAACGGTCGAACATGCTTTTGCTGCTTTCCCCAGACCCGTTTATTCTGATGTCTAAGTTTTCTTTATTGAGAATATTTACAGTGATTAGGAAGTGCTTATTGCAATCGTTATTTTTTATATATTAACCGTTCTTTTTTATATATATATATATTTTTTTTCCTTTGGTTTTCCGTCGATCTTGTTTTCCGTCCTGAGCACCAATGCTACCGACGTGCCATGAAGGCAGCTCCCACACTTGGACCCTACCTATCGACTTTAGATAATTAAAACATAGATTGCTCAGTCGGGCATCCCTGCTTTTACTCGAAAAGTAACATTGATAGCGCGCTATCTGTCGGCCAACGGGTGAGCTAAAAGTTTAGCAGCCGAAATGGGTGCGCATTTCGAATCAACATCAATGGAAATAATGCCATCTAAACCGAGATCTAAACGTGAAATTTGGCTCGCAACGTTCCGATTTGAAGACGGAACAGCTGTTGGTAGCAGTCTGCAGATAAGAAAAGTTTATAATATATTTTTGAGAATTAATAGACAGCAATTAACACTAATTCCTGAGTTTTGCCAAGCGGAATAATGATGTCGTCATCCTGATAGCTGCAAATAACCGACTCTTTCGAGAATTTCATGACACCCCAGACGTTAATCCATTTCTCTAAGTCTCTTGAGCTGAAACCCAAGAAAATATCATTCAAATGTTCATAAAAAAAACAACAACAAGGGAAACATCTTTTTTCACTAGAAGCTTGTGAAACGTGTTTGAACTTGGACTGGAAGCAGCTCTCGTACAATTTTGAAACTCCCACCGTTGAAACCCTATTTTGGTTTCTGGTATTCACTGTTGTTTCAGACAGGAATTGGTACGCAAAGTGTTTGTTCACGCAAATGCAGATATACACACTTATCACAAAACTATACACGCTATGATTAAATAAGCCGTATATAGCGTATGTTTACTCAAATTGGGCGTAAACTGGACGAACCAAAACATAGGAAAATTTATGACAACTTTGTATAAAAATAAATCATATATGAACACCATTTAGGTTTGTTTTTGTGCAATCTAAGTAAATTAATCTTAGCGTGCAAAGTTATGAATGCGCAGGGAGAAAAAATAGTTCACCCGTTGACCGCCTTTCTCAGTTAGGCGCCACATTTTTGTTGTCAGTTTATTTTCCGAAGTGGCAAATCTATGTTTTAATTATCTAAGCTATCGACCCATCAACTCATAAACCGGGGACCAACGTTTTTTTTTTTTTTTTTTTTTTTTCTTCATTATAGAGATTTTTAGCCATAGGCTAGTTCATCTCTTGCCGGGGACCAACGGCTTTACTTCCCATCCGAAGGAAGGCGTGATCAGAGATGTTATGCCTCAGAACATCCCGGCGGCGCCGACTGGGATTGAACCACGGTAATCACGCTTACCACTACACCACCGGCGCCGTTGTTCTTTTTTTATTGGTACGAATAAATGTGGCCATCGTTTACAGATACACTTGTATTATTACTATACAATTCAATTTAAGGATAACATAGTCTTGATCCTAATACTTTATCTTTCGAATGAATCTGTTTAAGGGACGTAAGCTTTGGTGTTAGTCCTGATCGTTGGATTTTTTTTACAGCGCCAGTTGGATTTTTCTTGACAACCCTTTTCGAGTAACTCTCCACCACGTAGGTTGGTAGCAACTAGTAAGGCTTGAACTCGAAAAAAAATGCACAATTTTTATCCGTGTGTAACTTTTTTATCCGTGGGTAAAAATTGAAGAA